AAATAACACATAGATAAGTAGCCAATTAATCAAGTAATACTTAATTTAATTAAACACATAAACAATTAGTCAAATAATCAATTAAACAATTAAAAAAATACAATAAAAATAAATAAATAAATACCGAGACTATCCTTTTAAAATTAGGGGTATTACAAATGATTTAACACGAATAATTATAGTTTACATCACCACCTTCCACCACCGCCACTGCCACCTTTCACCATCACCGCCACCGCCTTCAACAACCACCATCATCTTTCACCACCGCCACCTTTCACTACCACCACCGCCACCACTACCTTCCACCACCGCCACCACCTTCCACCACCTTCTACCACTGCCACCACTGCCGCCACCACTGCCGCCACCACCTTTTACCGTCGCCACAACCACCACCTTCCGCCACCACCACTACCGCCACCACCTTCCATCATCACCGCCTTTCACCACCATTATAGTCACACCACTATCTCCTTCCACCACACTACTACCACCACCTTCCACCAACACCATTGCCACCTTCTACCACCACTGCTACCACCAATTTCCACCATTGCCACCATCGTTGCCTTCCAACACCACCACTTACACTACTACCGCTTTCCACCATCCACCGCCGCCATTTATTTTTAAAAAATTATTAGAGAATATCATTTTGTTAATTTAATTTAATTTATTTGTTACTAAGAGGGATATTTTGGAGAATTCAATTAAAAATTTATTCTATACTAAATTTTAAATTGGTCCAACCAAATACTAGAATGGTTATTATCATTCCATTCCTATACATTTCATATTTACAACAAAATAATAGAATGAGAATGACCATTCCATTCCATGCTCATTCTCATTCTCATTCCCACTTGCATTCCATTACATTCCTGCACACCAAACGTAGCATAAGGATCTGATAGTATTTTTTTCACTGATTTATTTATTTTTTTAATTTGAAACCTTCACGGTTCCATCTCACTTTAAAATTTTATTTTTTACAAAATTCCATATCTAAATATTTGAAACACTAAAATTTTCTTTATACAAAAGTCCATATCTTAATGTTTGAAGTTCAAATCTGAATTTTTTCAGATTCATATTCTTTGTATTCAGAGTATTGCTTTGATTTTTCAGATTAAAAAAAAAATAAAAAAATTATCATAAAATAAAAAGAAAAAAGTACTATAAATTTTTTTTAGATTATACTTTTTTTTTTTCCATCTAATTTTATTTTTTTTATTTGAAAAACAACCGAATACTTAAAAACAGAGAATAGGGATCTGAAAAAATAGATAATTTTAGAGAGAGAACCAAATTATAGTACTTTTTTCACTGGTTTTTGGAGGCTAGTATATTAATTATATATAATGAGAGACCAAAAGGAAGTTAATATAAAAATAGTAATTAATTATTGGAGTTTTGTAAAAAATAAAATTTTAAAGTGAGATGGAACCGTGGAGGTTTATGAAATTTCTTAATTAGGAGGCTAGTATAGTAATTATATATAATGAGAGACCCAAAAAGAAGCTAGCAGAAAAATAGTAATTAATTATTGGGAAAGAAAACACACAAGCAACCCTTCAATTAGCAACTGAGATTCCACAATCCGGGGGCGACTATGATTAGCATCCTTCCTTTTGTAATTTTAAAAATAATAAATTTAAAATTCTAATTTAACATTAAATAGTAAGGTTAAATTTGTCATTTCACAATTAGGTTTACGGGTTGGACACCGATATTGGGGGTAATGTGATCACTTTTTAAAGGTGTAGCGTTTTTTGAAACATATTTGGAGTTTTATGATCAAAATTTAAAAGTAGCGGTGGGTTTTATGATTTTAACCCTATAATTAATTATTTTTTATTTTTTGTAACGACACTGTCGCCACGTAACAATATTGTACCTAAAATACAACAATAATGTAAAATAAGTCGTATTTTAAATTTATTATTTAAAAATATTACACTCACTCTTATAATTCGACAAAATATGTTGCATGAGTATTACATATTCAATTGTATAAGTATTACTCCCTAGTCATGTCCTGAAAATAATAATAATAATTTGTTCATTTTTCTTTTTCCGGCTATTCCAAAATAAGTTCTTAGTTCAAAATTCAATGCACTATATTTTTAATATTTATAATATACCCTCTTGTCTTGAAATAAGTGTACAAATCAAAGAACATAAAAATTACTATAAGGAATTCATTTCATACCACTATAATATAAAACATAAAAAAAAAATTCACTCTTACCCCTTAGATTAACTTGTTTTGATACTTTTGAATACAAAACATCTGGAACAGAGCCGGAAATAAAATTTTGAGGGGTCAAATTAGTAATAAAAAATTAAAATTTATTATATAATTGTAATATTTTTTTAAGAGCATGTTTATAAAATGACATAAATCGACTATTAATATACCCCCTACAATTCTCTCCCTCCGCCCAAACAGTGTAAGAACTATATCATTTTGTTCACACCTAAACATTTCTGCGACGTAGTTTATATCAAAATTTCTATAAAATTATGCTAATCATTCAAATGTGACAATTCAACTTGACAATAAATGATAAAAATAAATATGGTATAAAATTGTAACTATAGTGTATGATTTAAATTAATTTTAAAATTAAAATTTGACAGTATAATGCTGGTACCCTCCTCCTCCAAACAGTTAAGTCCTAAAAAATTTAATACGGGGTTATAAAAAAATGGAGAGTTCGTGGATGCTATGACGAGGTGCAACATACGGATCAAGGGTGTGCAGAAAATAATAGTCATATTAATAATACTCCAACAAAATTGGTAAATTATGCTGCTAATAATAATAATCCTAAAATTGGTAAATTGGGTCGGATGAGTAGATTGAAATATTGAATCATAGGATTTAGTCTAGTTCAATAACGGAATGTTGGATTTAAAATATATATGTATAACCTTAAAAAAAATAAAAATAAAATACTCAGCAAACTTATCTTTTGCTCTTTGGATTTCAATTATAAAAGTTAAAGGTTCAACTCTCAATTTGAAGTCCTTTCGATTGAACAATTAGTAATAAATATTTCTTTATACTGAATCATAACTGAATAAGTGTTATACACAAATATATATATATATCATAAAACCTAAAATTGTAGAACTAAATCGTGATACAACGTATAAGTTGGATTTTACTATTTTCAAAATTATAACAAATTATAGTAATTCATTTCAAATCCAAAAAGTACAAGGTGTGCTCCTTAGAGTCTCATACTCCCTGTACGATAAACGCTACACATTTTTTTTTTTTTTTCTTTCTTAAGTCAAAATGACAAAGATATCTATAATGCTTTTATGCAATTAAAACATTAACATCATTTTACTTTTAGAATGCAATTAAGACATTAACATCATTCTACTTTTTGAAGCACCAATACCGTTACGGTTGAGTTATTTCTTATCTTCTTTAGGAGAAGGCTTTTCACTCCCTAACTTATAATATACAGTAACATATTCTTGCCGAAAAATCTTTTAGAAGCAGAGCACATTTATGGGAGCATAGACGGGACGTCCTTTTCAATTTAGTAATAATTTTTAATTTAGTAATATATACATTGATTAAACACGGCATGCGAGCACACACTAGTCTATCTCATAGTGACTACTTGGTTGACTTTATTTTTTTCCCCGAATTAAATGGAGAGGCCACGCTAATGTATATAAATTGCTTGCGTATGTCGCCTTTGAAGATTTCGTCACCGCTATATTATTGTATATTTGTAATTTTGATGGTTTTTACTTCAATATATGTTATTTTTTTATTTTTATTTTTCCGAAAAAGTTGCGAATTGTACAATGGCCTCCTAGCTCACTAGTATTAGTTTTGTCAGTGCACTATACCTTCAGAATGTAAAGATGTTGTTTGTAGTGTTTTTTTATGTTATGTTGTGTGTTCATGTTCCTATGTAATATGTGTTTTGAGTGTTGAATCTTGTTAATAAAAATTAAATTAAGGAGATAAATTATACAAGAATGTAACGTGGTAGTTTTATTGTAGGGTAGGGTTAAAGAATAGATTCTGTTCAAACTGAATGAGTAATTGCTACCCTAAAATCTTTAGGAATAGTTTTTGATAAGTAACAATGTCAAACTTGATCAAACGGTGGGTGTTCATCTCATTAAAGAACGCAGTTGAAATCGCCCATTAAATGGAGCCAATTATGATGTTCTACCAATTTTTATATTTTCATAAATAACTGAAATTCAGTTTCTTAATTGGTATCTTAAATTTTTAGAAAGTGAATGGGCAACAACTTGTACTTAAAAGAATAAGAAAGACTTGCTCTACAAGTATTTTACGAAAAAGTTAAATACAAATATTGTAATAATTAATAAACTTAATTAGAAAAAAATTAAATACAAATATAGTAATAATTAATCAGTTTTATTAGGAAAATTTGTTTCTTAAGCATACTAAAGGTCAAAATGTGGACGTTTGAAAAGTACATGAATTTCTAACTTGTTTCTTAAGCATACCGAAGGTCAAAATGGGGACGTTTGAAAAGTACATGATTGTAATTCTCAATTACCACATTTATGGTGTGGAAAAAAAAAAAAAAAAACAAATAATGGCTTTTGTTGTATCTAACACAACTTTGATGTACACTAATTTTGTGATATGAACTAAGTTTGTGAAAATTACCACCTTGTGATTTGTGAGTTTCAGAGGTTAAAAAGTATATTGTTTTTTTTTTTTTTTCCAAATGTTAAAAGTGGCACATAAGTGCATTTAATTAAAACGTACAATATTAATCCCAAAGTTGAAAAGGTAGTTTTTGCAACTAATTTGATGAAAAAGAGAATACAAAACAAAGGACCTGTTTGGTTGGAGGTTTGGAATATTGCAAACCAAAATGGCATCGCATAAGGAATATGCTTCTCTTCCTTCTAGTAATTTCTGGAGATGAAAACTGGCGGTTTCCATTATTAGGCGGGGAGTCAACAAACAGTCGTAAAGGGGCAGGTGCACGGCACGGGGATGGTATGCTTTCCTCAACTTTGACATTACCATATAAGTTCATTTATTTACAATTATATAATACAAGCGTGCCCTAATCTCTCAGCGGTGCTTTCTTTAGTTGATATAAACAAATCAATATAAATATCTCACTTCAATATATCTGTGTTGTGCGTTCGTATAGCAGTTTATATCTAGCCTTGTCTCCGTGATCCTAAATCACCTCCGATCTGTTGATTTATATTGAAGAGAAGAGGTATGTATGTTTCAGATTCACGATCTGGTTCTCCAATAAATTCATCTGATAGTTATTGTTTTGTATTATTCGTGATTAGTGATTTGATACTGAATTAATTGGTCTTTGTTATTTGATTGGTCTCTGGGTCGCTCAGAAGGAAGAGAATGGGGAGTTCAGGATTTTCATGGAAGTTACCGGAACACCCGAAGCTCCCTAAGGATAAGATCTTGGCCATGGTAGTTTTGGACGGCTGGGGCGAAGCTAAGCCAGATCCTTACAACTGCATCCATGTTGCCGAGACTCCCACCATGGATTCTCTTAAACAGGTCTCTCCTCTCTCTCTCTCTCTCTCTCTCTCTCTCTCTCTCTCTCTATCTATATATATATATATGTATGTCACCATATACATAGGGATTCTGAGATACTTGGATCTTTCAATCCAGTTGTTCTTCGCAGATTTGAGGAAATTCACACTCTTGTTATTGATATCTCAATTTTAAACACTGTTTGGTCATTGTACCCTGTGAATTTTTTCAAAATTTTCTATTTTCTATTTTCGTTTCTTTTCTTTTTATTATATTTCTTTTTTATTTTTAATTTTTTGATACTATGGGACCAAATTAATTGTGTATCTAAGATCATACTGCCTTCTACTTTGGCAGCCTGGGACAAATTATCTGAACAGTTTGCTTTTTACATCACTTCGGATCTACATGATTTCTTTTGGTTTTTGAAAGCGCGAAAACTCTTCAAGAATAGTTTGGTCCACTTTAGAATGTGTAAACAAAGTGAAAAAGAATGAAGAAAACAAACTGCAAAAAAAGGAAAATAAATTGGTCTTTCCCTTCTCGGACCACATATATATTTATGTATATTTATTTAGTGTACCACATATTTTATACTTTTTCCTGAACCATCTAGGGTCGACTACACGAATGCTATTTTTTCAAAGAATTCTTAACTACCTGTGTTCAGGAAGTGATTTCTTATTCGCAGTAGACCAAAAAAAAAAAAAAAGGTAATAGAAGGTTGGCATGACTCTTATAGGCACAAACTTCTTTTACTGATTTGGGGATAACATTCATTATCTGCCTTACTTTTCAGGGTGCTCCTGAAAAATGGAGGTTGGTTAAGGCTCATGGTAGTGCAGTAGGGCTTCCAACTGAAGATGACATGGGAAACAGTGAAGTTGGTCACAATGCTCTTGGTGCTGGTCGGATATTTGCTCAAGGGTGATCCTCTCTTCCCATTTGTATTTTTTCCAACGTTTTTGGGTAAATTTTACTGTTATAATCATCAAGATAATGGTTTTATCAGAAGCATTTCCAAATTATTGTTGCACATCTTTGAATGGCCAAGTTTTTTTTTTTTTTTTGTTGGTTATTATTACCTTGGTGGTGATTTAGAAAAATTAAAAGTGGCACCAGGTTAGCTTTTTAAGAGGGCAAGGTAGTGTAGTTAATCATCTGGCGGGTGTGTTAACTCAACATAGAGGTCATTATAGATGGAGATGATTATGTACTGGTTGCTCCCCATTTGGGTTTTCTTTTCTTGTTTTTAGGATCCTAATACCTGAAAAGTACCCATAATCCTACTTTTGGGGCTGTGGTTGTTCCCCCATACGGCTTCATTCTACCTGGTGATTTAATTCTCGAAATGAGCTAAATTGATAAGGAGGCAAGTTGGCTATTTGCCTTCATTTTAATTTATATACATAAATATATGTGTGTGTGTGTGTATATATATATATATATATTATTTTTTTATTTGTAGTCTCTTGTACTTTACTTTTTCTGCATTCTGACCAACTATTAAATTTTTTGGTTTCTTACAGAGCAAAGCTAGTTGATCTTGCTCTTGCCTCTGGAAAAATTTACGAAGGAGAAGGCTTTAAATACATTAAGGAAAGTTTTGAAACTGGCACATTGCACCTCATTGGATTGTTGAGTGATGGTGGTGTCCACTCCCGGCTTGATCAGTTACTGGTATGTTCTGTAATTGAAGACTATCATTTTGCCTTCTAATTCTTGGTAGATCTTTCTATAATCAATTGACTATTATATTGCTTTTTCGGGGTGCAGTTGCTGCTAAACGGTTGTGGTGAGCGTGATGCCAAAAGAATTCGTGTTCATATACTTACTGATGGCCGTGATGTTTTGGATGGTTCAAGTGTAGGCTTTGTAGAAGCCCTTGAGAATGAACTCGCAAAATTACGTAAGAAAGGTGTTGATGCACAGATCGCATCTGGTGGAGGTCGCATGAATGTCACAATGGATCGTTATGAGGTAAATTCTTGATGATTTGGTAATTTCAGTTTTAATTTTTATTTAGAGTGCTGAATATCTTTGACACTTTCTGGAGTATCTGGCAAATTCATTGAAATGAAACCATTGCTAACATGTTTCATTTTGTAGGGATAAGATTATTATAATTTACCAGTAATATCTGAATTTATTTCAGTAAGAGTTGTTGCCTGCAGCATTGATATTGTCATAAATTGGTGGGTACTACGTAGGTGCTATGTCAGCAACTACCTTTTATTATACAGATTTACATGCCATTTTGAAGGAACTTAAAGGGAACAGCCTTCAAAGTGGCCCGATTGCACACTCTTCCGACCATGTAGTTCATTTCACATAACAGAGTCCTCGTGATGACATGTGCTAAAACTCATCAAGTCACACTTTGACCTCTAAATCCCACTAATGCAATGCTTACTAGACTAGACTCCACTCATCCTCACTTGACCTATGGTAAGGCCTTGACCCTGTAGAGTCTGTGCTGATCTCCATACAGTCCCCACCCCCACCCCTCAAGGCCTCTCTCTCTTATAAGTATGCCCAGGCTTCCACCCTAGCCCAATCCAGTTGGTATTTTTCTTGATATATTCTCTCTCATAATCTTGTCCATTAAACCCAGAATTGGCTTAATCATAGACGTGGAATGTCTGGGTGGAGTAATTTGGTGATGGTTCACACATTTTGTATGCACTTTTGTATGATCACAGTCTATTTTTGGGGTTTTACATTTCAAATTCTAACTTTTTCATGATAAGGATATTATAAACTATAAAGACATTGGTCCTCAAACTGATCATGTTTGCAAAATGACACATGGTCAATCAGTGTTACCATTTATATTTCTGTTTTTTTAAGATTGAAAGTTCGCATACCCTATGAATGGTTTGAAGTCAGGTTCACCAATATGCTGTAATAAATGATCCCATCCCTTTCTCTAGGACAACGTACTACCTTGGGCCTTTCCCAGTATAAAAATTAATCGGTTCTTCCTCCCGCTTGGTATTGGTATATTCTTCTCTGGTAGCTTATGCATTAAGTGTAATGTTGACCTTATTCGAACATATTAGTGTCTGGAATGACAATGATTCTGGGATCTGTGTTTTGTTATGGGGAGGAACATCAATGGAGGCAGGGACAGACCTATAAAGGTCTCATTGGGGCCAGCCTCCCCCACTTATTTTTTTACTTACAAAAGTACCTATATTTTTTGTTAAAATCTTAAAAATGCCCCACTCAATTTATGATAATACCTACTATATATATTCTTGTTGTTCAAAGCTCCCCCCCCCCCCCCCCCCCCCCAATACAATTCTCTTGGTCAGTCCTTGAAGGGAGTGCCACCTTGCTTCCGAAAGGTTGGCCAGGAAACATGGCATTCGTTCGTTGAAGTCACACATAGGCATATTTTTCTGTATGATGAATTGACGAACATGTTCAACCTTACCTAATATTTATTATCAAAGCTAGTTTGAGTATTTCCGGCAATGTATCTTTTCATCAATTGATTTGCCTAGAATGTGAATTTAAAAATGTTGCTGCTGCTTTTACAGAATGACTGGGAAGTTGTAAAACGTGGATGGGATGCTCAAGTACTTGGTGAAGCCCCATACAAGTTTAGAAATGCTGTTGAGGCTGTCAAGAAACTGAGGGAGGAACCTGGTGCAAACGACCAGTACTTACCACCATTTGTTATTGTTGATGAGAATGGGAAGCCTGTAGGCCCAATAGTGGATGGGGATGCTGTTGTGACAATCAACTTCAGGGCGGATCGAATGGTTATGATTGCAAAGGCCCTTGAATATGAAGATTTTGATAAATTTGATCGAGTTCGATTCCCTAAAATCCGTTATGCTGGAATGCTTGAGTATGATGGCGAGTTGAAGCTTCCGAGCCACTACCTTGTTTCTCCGCCAGAGATAGATAGAACATCTGGTGAATATTTGGTCCATAACGGTGTCCGTACTTTTGCTTGCAGGTATGTTGGTACTATGTGATTGTTTGATGTTATCAATAGCATTAATAATGTTTGTCATTGTTTTTTAGATTGAAGTCTTAGTTTGCTTTATGATTCACCTCTTCATTTTGGACTCTTAGTTTGCTTTATGATTTGCCTTTACAAATCTGTATTATTTGTTAACTTTATACTTGCAGCTGAATGTGATCTGAAACACTGTGTTGTTGTCTAAAAGCTTGTATATGCTGAGATTAGATGGTTAATTCTAGAATATGTTTAGGAAAAAAAAAAATCTAGAATATGTTTATAGAGCAGTTAGTTATTTTGAGGGCTTTCCAGTGACTTGTCACTATACATATATACATATATATATATATATATATACATATATATATATATATATATATATATATATATTTTTCTAAGTATCATTATTGGAAGTTTTCCTTAATTAGTTTAGCAAACATGTTCGTTTTCGGATCCGGGATGGTAGGAGGATCAGATTTTGGGAGGATCTTTGGTGTGGAGAGCGTCCTCTTGCTCTTGATTTCCCATGGCTCTTTAGGATTGCTTCTCATAGACAGGCCTTGGTGGTTGACCATTATCATCTTGATAACGGGAGACTGACTTGGGATGTTCAGTTTAGGAGGCACTTTCAGGACTGGGAAATTGAGGAGGTCACTCGCTTTTTGGATTTATTGTACCGTCAGGTGATTACAGCTAGGGATTCGGATTGATGGATCTGGGATCCCAACTCTCAGGGCCGCTTTGAGGTTCAGTCCTTTTTCAGGCGTCTTACGCTTGGCTCTGGAGGTCCTTTCCTTTGGAAGTCTATTTGGCGGTCTAAGGCTCCTCTCAAGGTGGCCTTTTTTGCTTGGACCTCTATTCTAGGTAAGATTCTAACCCAGGATAAGTTGAGGAGAAGGAATCAGGTGGTGGTTAATCGTTGTTATTTGTGTTGGAGCGACGAGGAGACTGTGGATCATCTTCTGTTCCATTGCAGCATGACTAGGGACTGTTGGGATTTAATGCTTGGTTTGTTTGGGATCCCTTGGGTCATGCCTTGCTCCTTTAGAGGGTTGGTTGACGCTTGGAGAGGATTCTCAGTGGGGGCTTTCATTCAGGATGCTTGGAGGGCCACGCCTCTTTCGTATTTGATAGTGCATTTGGCTTGAGAGAAATCGGCGCTATTTCGATGGAAAGGAGAAGCCTGCTTCTATGCTTAAGTTTTCTATTATTTCCACACTTTTTTGAATTTGCTGGGTTTCAGGGAGAGATTATAGATCTGTTGAGGAGATTTTTGTTTTTTTTGGGCCTCTTTGAAGGCTTGAGGCGTGCTTTGGCCTCTTGTTTTGTCTTTGGGTTTCGCTCCCCTTCTGAGCGCTTTCTTTTTATAATTTTACTTATTAAAAAAAAAATTTTATGGTGAGGGAAATTGGGTTATGTTGGGTACGTGCTTCAGGGGCTGGATTTATCAAATCTCCAAAACCAAGAAGTTGGGAGGAATTGCCAACTGCTTATATATATTTAATGTAATTATTTTAACTTTTAGGATAAAATGGTTTTCATACCATAAAGAGTGTTCAAAACAGGCACTCCACTCGTATTGAAGTATCAATGTAATGACAGGAACGTAGTAAGATAGTTTTATGTACACCTGTATAATAAAATTGAATTATTTATATGCTTACTAGGTGCAGGACCAAGCAGACATATCAGACCCAATAATCTAATCAATTACCCAAGGTTCATGTGTTTGCACAAGTATTTTGTTTTTTTAGAGGAATTATGTGCTATAGAAGATTTCACTGGTTAAATCTAACATCTTGTTTAAGAGGCTTCCCTCCCCCCATTCCTGACTACAATCCTCACTTACTGGCTAGAGAGGAGAAGAACTATACCCGCGTGTCATGTCACAAGTCTGTGTTTTGGCTTTGGAAAAGTGTGGATTTTCAAGAACGGGAATCTTATGATATGTAGGGAATCTCTTATGATAATCATCCACGCTTGAAACGTATCTTAATGCCGGAAAGTTGGATAGGGTGATAACAATTAGTCTCTAATTCAATACCTTGTCTCAAACTATCTGTTGGCTTCATGCATCTTTTCACAATGCTACTCCTGAGCATATTTTAGCTTATTTCTGATTGCTTTTCTTCTTGAACAGTGAGACTGTTAAATTTGGGCATGTAACATTTTTCTGGAACGGAAACCGGTCAGGGTATTTTAACCCTGAGATGGAAGAATATGTTGAAATTCCGAGTGATTCTGGCATTACATTCAATGTCCAGCCAAAGATGAAGGCATTGGAAATCGGTGAGAAGGCTAGGGATGTTATCCTTAGCCGCAAATTTCATCAGGTAGCTTTAGTTCATTGAGTTTTGTATGAGGTGGGACATGTTTAACTTGGATTATTGACTATCATGCTACTTTACTTTTTGATTTAGGTACGTGTGAACATACCAAATAGTGACATGGTGGGGCATACAGGTGACGTTAAAGCCACTGTTGTGGCTTGCAAGGCCGCTGATGAAGCTGTCAAGGTATGGTCCTTCTATGTATCCTAGCTTCAGCGGCATAAATTCTTTGTACTCTTAATGTTTTACTTGGTCAGTCTGCTAGTTTTTGGAGAAGTCAGGTGGTGTAGTATAAGTTAAAATTAAAAAGAAAGCAATACTAGAGCTTTGTAATAAATGACGTTAGAGGAATGCTCAGAAACATGTTTGTGGTGGTTTTAAGGAACAGTGAGTAAGATGGCTTAAAATCTCAAAAGTACTAGGAAACTATGATCAATCCCGCCTTCTTCCGGGTTATGTGGGGTTCGTGAGCAGGTGGAGGGTTTTAACCATCAACTTTGGACTAAAAGAAACAGAAGGAAAAGAGTATCTAATGTAACTTTGTTATGACAGAATTGTGCTTCAAAATTTGGATTGAATACACGTCTTTTAGGTAGCCTTGGTAAGTGACTAGAGAATCTTACTTTTTTTATTTTTATGTGGAAACTATAAAATTATTTTCATCAGAACGTTACCCCTCCGGTTCTATTTCATGAATTGACAAGAAATCCTGTAAAATAATCTATCGAGGCAGTGAAATCTTTTATAAATCAGCTTAATGAAGCCTTATCCCCCTTGCTGGAGCAGGATAGTAGAATCCTTTTTCTGCCACTTTTCTTTATCATTTGTGGTGCATTACATGCCGGCTTTAAATTATTTTTATCTTGATTTGTCGGACTAAAGCCAGGAACTTTTGCTGATTGTAATGACTTAATCTGATTGCAGATGATACTTGATGCAATAGAGCAGGTGGGAGGAATATATGTTGTCACCGCAGATCATGGTAATGCTGAGGACATGGTGAAAAGGAACAAGAAGGGGGAGCCTGCTCTTGACAAGAATGGCAATGTCCAAATTCTTACTTCTCACACTCTTCAACCAGTAAGTATCGTGTGGTCTTTACTCTTCTTGGCAGTCATTTTATTTTATGGATCTTGGAACCTGAGGTGCTTCCCACCCTTGAATGGGTGAATTATAATGTTTTTTGAGAAGTAGATGTTTTGAATTAGAAAAACTTAAATTTTGCTTGGGTTGATAGATGACCATTATGCTTTCTTGATCTTATTTAGGTACCTATTGCAATTGGAGGTCCTGGGTTGGCACCTGGTGTGAGATTCCGGAAGGATGTGCCTACTGGTGGGCTCGCAAATGTGGCTGCTACTGTGATCAACCTCCACGGATTCGAGGCTCCTAGTGACTATGAGCCAACACTCATTGAGGTCGTAGATAACTAGCAAGTCAATGACAATTATCGAAATCTCTAAAATTTTGACTTTATGTCATTGGCCAAACTTCAATAATTTATGGGTATGAGTCATCTCAGCAGTGGTGTTAATTTTCCAATCTGGTGTTTTCAAAGTGCCATTGATATAAGAATATTTTGGCAGTTGTTTGTTACTGCCATCACTTTTTTTGTTTGCCTTTTTTCATCATCAATGAAGTATTTTACAAGATGTTTATTTTAGTATTAAAATTTTACTTTCGAGGATATTTGTTTGCTTGTTCAAGATGATTAAATTTTTTTTGTTCCACATAGCTGGTTGATTAGACCTGCCGGAATTGTCTGAACCTTGAACCCCAACTAGAAAGCTGGAACCATTTATGGACAGTTGAGGGCCATTTAGATTAAGGCCTAGTTTGGTGCGGTGGAATGGAATGCAAAGAAAGTGGAATGGAATGGTTTTTATTTTATTCTTGTGTTTGGTGTTCAATTTTAAACTTGGAATCGTCATTCTCCACTATTCTTGGAGAATGGTCATTCCATCAAAAAAGGAACGACTATTTCATTTCAACTTTAGAAAAATACAAACTAAAAAAATATTAAAAAATAAAACTTAACAAATTATAAACCCACGCATCACCATCTCTTCCATCAAACAAACAGTCAAGCCTACCGCCGGCATCATCACCTTTATCAAACCCACCGCCAGCATCATCATCTCCTCTATCAACCCACCGCCGGCATCATCACCTCCTCCATCAAACCCACCGCCGGCGTCATCATCTCCTCCATCAAACCCACCACCGGCATCATCATCTTCTCCATCAAACCCACCGCGTGATCTTGAACTTCATAGTGATGGACCAAGACACAATAAAAAATCAAAAGTAGATCTGAAGCTTTTTTGTTTTTTGGTAAGTTAAAAAAAAATAAAAAAAGAAGATCTGAAGCTTTTTGGTGATAATTTCCAAATCTGTTTACATAAGCTTTTTCATTGATTTTGTGAAAGAATTGCTGAAACCATTCTTTCCAAATCAGATCCGTCTTCACTTGATCGCACTAAAGTTTGTAAATCGGATCACCATTCTTTTCAATCGGATTACCATTCTTTCCATCACCTTTTCTCGCCGCAATCTCCAACACCTCACTTGCCCAGTCTCTACTTTCTCTCTCTATCTATTGCCCCAATTTCATTCTTACATACCTAAATCTATCCACTGGATTTGAAAAAATTTGATGTGAATTTTTTAGTTAATTTTTTTTTTTTACTAATTATAAAGATAATTTGGAGAAAATAATATAAATGATGAATAAGGTAAAACATTATAAATTTAATCCATTTTTATTTTTAGTCCAACCAAACAAATAAATAGAAATTATTATTTTACTTTTATACATTCCATTCTATGTTTGCAATCAAACAAGAGAATGTGAATCATAATTCCCACTCTATTCCATTCTCATTTCATTTTCATTCCATTCCAATTCATTCCACCACACCAAACTAACCTAAGAGTATGTTCGGTTGCATGGCTCCAATGCTCCAATTCCGATGTGGTAATGGTGCCTTGATATGCTGGTATTATTATTTTGGTAGATAAGGGTTTATATATCAGAAAAGAGGACTACAAACCAAATCAAATTTGTTTCATTAAAAAAAAAAAAAAAAAAAAAAATTTCAAATCTGCCACCAAAAAATCAAACTGCAAAGAAGGATGGAAACACTAGAAACAAGAAAATAACAAACTAGATCCAAAACTATATCCAAGACCATGAATGGGAAAATCATGAAAGCGGCAATATGCCAAAAAAGCAAAGATAGTTTCGGGAAGATTCTTGACTCCTGAAGCAATCTTGGAATCTTGAACTAAGCTTAAATGAAGGTTCCAATGGATGTTATATGCATGTAGAAGAAGAATTTGAGAGGTTTCAAATTTAAGGGGAAGAAGATGAAGATTCACCATTCGTCTATATGTGTGTGTTAGTGTAGAAAAATGCCTGAAAATAAAATCAACGCAAAGCAACTCTCAGGCAATGGACAGTTTTAAGCGGGTGTACCTTCCCCCACCCTGCAACCGTTTAGAATCTCCGCTTCGTCCCCCGCCCAAAACCGCCTAAACGGGGACCTTTCCACCCCATTCCTACCCCTATAACTTTTTCATTTCCACGGGCACCTGTCTCTCCCCGTTTAGTTCTAAAATTTCTTCTCCTTTTAATATATATATATATATATATATATATTTTCTAATACAATTATATAACTATTGAAAAAATTCATAAAAAATGGATAATCAATAGTTTAATATAAAATTTTAAGGGTACGAGCGTTCTTAATTCATAGGATTCTGTTTGAGTGAATGTGACCTAAAGTTTCTAAAGGCTAACTACATATACTAATAAAATAAGAGTAATTTAGTAATTTACCTACCTAAACGGCGGTGAACCCGCGCTGATTTTCATTAATAAAAATCATCCCCGCACCAATAAGCTAAATGGTCCCCAAAATCATTATAATACTTGACCGCAGAGCAAATTGCCATCCCTATCCCGAAGTGGTTGATGGAAATCAGTTTATTAGCTACATGTACTGTTGTATATGTGTAAAATGTTTGTCTATATACATTTAGATATACACGGACAGATAAAATGATTGGATGAATCGCCCAAAGAAATCGGGGGAATGAGGGGGACCTATTCCTTCACATTTGTAACAGATAAACATCACTTGCCAAATATATCTCTAACTAACCTTTACGATTCTTCTGCACTTTTCTTCTCCATCTCTAATCCATAACTTATTCTGTATTTCCTTTTTCTCCTTTCCAATGTCACTAACAAATCTGCGTACAATGAATTATACTAGCTTTACAAGTATTATTGATCCATCAGCGAGTGTTTGATCGAGAAGGGAATATTAGAAAAAATATATATAAAATTAAAAAAAAAGAAGTTAGTTTATATATAGGATAGGAAGTGATCTGGGTGGAATGGAAGGGGTGGATGAAATTATAGAGAGGCTTTTGGAAGGGAGGAAGATCAGAGGGAAGAAGATTCAGCTGACAGAGACGGAGATCCGTCAACTTTGCATGATGGCCAAGGATATCTTCCTCAGCCAACCTAATCTTTTGGAGTTAGAAGCTCCCATTAATGTTTGTGGTACAAACTCTTATCACCACTACCTTCTTTTTCACTATTTTTCACCCAATTAATCTTACCATGCATGGATTAATCAAATTAATTCTATATTCTTCTGTGTAGCATTTCTGTAAATATATTTCCTGGATATAACATTATCTACAATCATGCTTCTTCTCAATTGCTAGTAATTGCATCTTTTTTTATTTAATTATTTCTTTTCATTTCTTTCCATGGTTCTTCCATTAGTCAGACAGATTAATCATCGATATTTTTGTTATTTCAAAAATAAAGTACCCAATTTTTCTTTTTCTTTTTTTCAATTAAAATTCAAATCGAGGAATTTTGAAAGTCTGTTGGATCCCTGCAGGCCTGATACTTCATATTTTAGGATCTGTCATGTCCTGAAAGATTTCAAATGTCAGTCCTAACATTTGCAGAATTTAAATGCATTTTTTCTAATGAGATTTGAATGGTTGGAATTCCACAATTAAAGAGAAGTTGGGGGTGAACAAAATTCTGGCAAGTCCTTCCACAATTGTCTATGTATTGCCATGCCTTATTAATTGACTTTACTAAAAATGTATCCTAATTAAAATTTGAGAGGTGTTGTCTGTGTTGTTGAGAAATGTATGGTAAGGTGAATGTAATTTTTTGCAGGTGACATTCATGGGCAATATTCAGACTTACTACGGCTCTTTGAGTCCGGTGGCTTTCCACCGGATGCCAACTACCTATTCCTTGGAGATTATGTGGACAGAGGAAAGCAAAGTATTGAGAGCATATGCCTCCTCCTAGCTTACAAGATCAAATTCCCTGATAACTTCTTTCTCCTCCGTGGAAACCACGAATGTGCTTCCATTAATAGAATCTACGGATTCTATGATGAGTGCAAGCGTCGGTTCACTGTTCGCCTCTGGAGAACTTTTACAGATTGCTTCAACTGTTTGCCAGTGGCTGCAGTTATTGATGACAAGATCTTATGCATGCACGGTGGGCTTTCGCCAGAAATGGAGAGCTTGGATCAGATAAGAGTCATTGAAAGGCCTATTGATGTCCCAGACCAAGGCCTCCTTTGTGATCTGCTTTGGTCTGACCCTGATAGAGACATTACAGGGTGGGGTGAGAATGATAGGGGTGTTTCATTTACCTTTGGACCGGACAAGGTGGCTGAGTTCTTGAAGCAACATGACCTTGATCTCATATGCCGAGCTCACCAGGTCCCGATTTTCTTTTTTGTTGATAAGTAACTGATTGTATATGAATGCGGAACTGTGATTCTTACTTTTACCAAAAATGACATTGCAGGTGGTTGAAGATGGTTATGAATTCTTTGCAAACAGGCAGCTGGTTACCATATTCTCGGCACCAAACTACTGTGGAGAATTCAACAATGCAGGTGCACTGATGACCGTGGATGAGAGTTTGCTATGTTCTTTCCAAATTATCAAACCATGGAAAGGAAAATAAATGAATAAATTCCAGAGACTATCCAAGGAAGATGTTGAAATCTCTTTGCGCGCGACAAACATTATGGTAGAGCTAACCATATGCATTAAGCGCGTGTGCTTGTTGCTGTGTTTTGAGTCAGAAATGTTCCATTAGCATCCAGCACAGAATAACCCTTGTTTCCTTCACTTGGTGATTATCCTTGTAACAACAAACCAATCAAACAATGGAAAAAAGTTTTGTATATAAATCCCTAATGGTTTTAATTGCCTTGTAGCTTGAAATTAAACAAATAAGTAGACAACCAAATGCAATGCAAATGATTTGGCTAAGCTTTTTGGGCAATTAATTTACTGCATTTATCTGTTTCTAATAGTTTATTCAAGAACGGTGGAATTCTTTACTGCTATTACTCTTACAATCCATTACTATGTTAAAGCATGAAACAAAAACTTATTTGTTCAATGCCCCTATTTATCCTGTTTTGACCTGCATGCGGCATGCCCTCAACAAAATTTCTTCCTTCCACCCAAGCAGCATGACCTTCCCAGCATTGTTGAACGGTATACATCTGACCTTCTTCAGACCTTGTAATAATGAGAGCCTCGTGCATTAGGCTAACTCTTTATATATATACACACACACTTCTCTGCATGGTTTCTCTGTCAATGTGACATGGGAAAAGGTCCAATTTCAGGTTAATTTATGGCTGTACTCTTGGCTGGGTTTTATTTGGTCCAGGAACTATTGGATGCTTCTAACTTTATTAACTGTGGTGTGTCGGAGGGATCATTGTTGCGTCAAAGACTCTCCACACTCCAAGTAACAAAGGTGAGTATCATTCAAGGCCCATGGGGATGGGTCCCAGAGCAACTTCTCCTACGCATAATTATTACTACAGTTCTCACACACAACATCTTTCTAGATCCTACAATTACGCATATAAAATTACATGCGTAATTGGAGTGTATATAGTTCCTACAAGTAGCGAATTTCAGCTCTCTTGTGTTTTTTTTTTTTTTAAAGGGAGAATTTGGCTTATAGGGATATATTGTACCTTTTTTTTTTTTTCTCAAAAGTTTAAGCCAATTTATAAATTTAAAATAGGTACAGTGTGGGCCTTCGGCGGAAACAGGAAGTGAAACAAGCCCACCAGAAGGCAAGTCCAAGCAAAGCCCAATCGCAATGTCAAAGAAATACCCTGGTTTAACAGACAAATTAGGGGTTAAACCAAACTATCCGTTGCCTTTTCCGATGTCAATCTGGCTGTCAAAAAAACACATATCTTGCGGTTGGAGATTGACTGGTCTGGGACTCTCAAAATTTTGAAAGGTCACTTTCAAATGCAAGACACTTAGATTTTGAGAGGTTCTAGATGAACTTTCAAATGAAAAATCTTTTATATATAAGGTTTTGCACGTGTCAAAAATTTATAAGAGTGCGAAATTTTCATTAAAATGATACGATAAACACAAAATATATTAATGTTGAAAACATACAAAATAAAATCCAATCTTGGTGCTTTATAAAAAGTATGATCCACTTTCATAAAAAAATGAGAAGTGATAAATCTTCCGACTTCAATTGCCGACTACTCTTAACGTGGTTGGGAATGAGTCGAAAAGAAATATATGTTTACGGGAATTTTTTGTAAGAATTCTAGTGAGATCCAATCACGTTTTATTCGTAAGAAGAGTCGACAATTAACGTCAGAAGACCTATCATTTTTTTAAAAAAATTAAAAGAAATATTCAACATAACTTAGTCACAAAAATCAAAACTCAACTTCATATCAAAATAAATGTGATCGTCTTGCATTTTGAATTGCAAAATTAAAAATTAAAGTACAAATTTTTTCAACATATTGTCGACAGTAGATAAGATTTGATCAACTTTAACTTTGGAAAACTTTTATCATCAGCAAATCCAACTATAATTTTGATAGTCAATAATATTTTATATGCAATTCAAGCATTTGGAAAACAATAACCTAGACTTTTTATAACATCCAATACCTCAATTATTTTTTTTGTTCCTCACGGTAAAGTTTCTCTTAAGACTTGTAGTTTTGAAAATATTTTTCTTCTATTAATATCAGAAACCATGTCATGTTTTAGAAAATTTTCAAGGTTATTTTGGAGAATGTGACAGTTGATTGTACCCATGTATTAAAATTTTGGTTGTTTAGACTACGCTTAACGGAACCTGACATGCATCGACATGAGCCTAAAAATAATATAATAATAAAATAAACAAGTTTTTGAGTTTAAATATAGAAAATTTATTTTATTTTTTATTTTGATGGGAGGGGATCCGAACAAATTATTTTCACCATACAAATTGTTATATTATATATTTAAATAGAGTAGTGATATTATTTATACCAAATACAAATAAATAGAGGTTCCACTACTTTATTTGTTACATAATTGATCAATTAAAAGAATAGGTCTAGCAATTCTTTATTTGTTACATAATTGATCAATTAAAAGAATAGGTCTAGCAATTCACTCAAATTATTCGGTACAAGAATCATTTTCCATATAAATATTATAACTATGTGTGTTTCTTATCATAATTATTTTTTTTTAAAGTTATTTATTACCATAAATTTACATAACATATAAGTGTATTGTCTAATTATGAAAATTATGGTTACATATACACATTACTATATTTGCATTATGATTCTAAATTTGAAGTCCTGCCAAATTGGAGGCCAACCGCCCTGGTCACCTTGCCCAGGGCGGACTGCTGAGGATGGATCTTGAGACTGAACAACCACGAAGGCAACCCAACTTGAGGATTGATGTAATGATGCTGCACATCTTGCCCAAAACCATTCTTTGTGACGAGGCATTCCTTTCGGAAATTCCGATCATTTCGCTCCTCCAAGTATGGTAAACTACAGCTGAAAGGCAAATCTTGTTAGGGGAGTTTGCCATGAGAAGGGATATATTGTACTTGTTAAGTTATTCTTGACAAGTTTTGAAAGAAAGTTTTTTGACTTTTGCAAAAAGAAAAAATCATAACCAAACACGGTGCAGTGACTTCAACATCCAACTACTTTGATACGCGTAAGCCAAAGCCCATCCCAGCTTACCCTTTCGGGGATGGTGTTGGCGGAACACTAATTAATCCCCAACTCTCAACTGTATTCATATTAATTAACATGGGTCCAACTTACACCAATTTTCTAGCCAAGCTGTGCTCCTTTTTTTGAAATATATGACCAAACTCCCATTATTACAGGTGAGGCACGCAATTTCAACTTTTGATTAATGTATCACAACAATATATGTATAAATTACCCTAACAGAATCCCTATGATATTTTTTATTACATGATTTATTTACTTTTCAAATATTTAAAAAAATTTATTTTAATGATTAAAATTTAAAAACTCACAACTCATGAACATTTTTTAGTTTTAAAAGCAATAGATTTGAATTCTGACAGGCAAATGTTTATGCAAGACTAAATTTTTTAATTTTGCATTTCTGCATTTTTGTTTTTCCGTAATTAAGTGAGAAATTTCTGCAACTTCAAAATGGAAGTAATGCTTTTTTTTTTTTCAGTTTCTTTTGAAGTAAAGTTTTTGCATAGTAAAAGTGTATTAGCTGTTACATTCTCAAAATAAATATTAATTGGTGAGTGTTATATTCTCAAAATAAATGTCACATGAATGTTCCCAAGCTTGTTTTCTAGCAATTTATAATATCATGATTAATAGCACAGCGGTTTAAATGGAATGGTCAGTCGAACTAACATGTAGATTATACAGTATAATATTAACCTTCCCCTCTTCAAATCTTGCACGCTAACTCAAACCAGTCCATTCATAACCACAAAATCTTACACGCATAAAAATGTGTCCATGCATGATATGATATGATATGATATGACGCACTATATACAGTAATGGTGAAGTGAACGGTTGCAACTGAAGCCTACATAGTATAGATATCTTCCTCTTCTTTCGGATATCAAATTGTTGTTACTGGGACTCAAAACCTAACCATATGTGATATATACCCAAATTCCCCAAACCAACCGACCTACAATTCAAACGTCATCAGGAGTCAACCCAAAGGCATAGCTGTAGTACAATCTAAGAAACGAATATATATATATATATATATATATATATATATATATATATATATATATTCTGTTGAGTTCACGAGCCACTTTTGATTTGGTTTGATTTTGAGCGAAAAATATGGAATTAGAATCTTCTTCATCGAAGGTGAATGGGAAATCAATGAGCCCTCCTTCATCTTCGAAACGCATGAGCAGAACAAAAATATGCTTGTTGGTGACTTTCGCCGTTATATTGGCGGTGGTTCTGCTCATGGTGATTTTGGGCCTCACCGTCTTCAAGCCCAAACGTCCCGTCACCACCGTTAACTCCGTCTCTCTCAAAGATGTGGACTTCTCTCTGGACGTCCTCAACGGCCCCAGAGTACACATCAACGTCACCGTCGATGTCAATCTCTCCGTTAAAAACCCTAACAAGGTCGGGTTCAAGTACACCAACAGCTCCGCTTTCTTGAAATACAGAGGCGAAATCGTCGGAGAAGCGCCGATCCCCGCGGGGGAGATATCCTCCGACCAAACACGCCCTATGAATATGTCTCTCACCGTGTTGGCGGATCGATTGCTCACCAATTCGAATGCCTACTCCGATGTCCTCTCCGGTACGTTGCCTCTCACCACCTACACTCGAATTCCGGGCAAAGTTCGTATCTTGAATTTCATCAAAATTCATGTTGTTTCGTATACCACCTGCGATTTGACCATTAATGTTTTGAGTAGAACTGTTGCCGATCAAACTTGTCACTATAAAACCAAATTATAAATCAGAGACACACGGAGAGAGTTAGAGAGGAGAAAATCCTCTCCGGTGACCGGTGTAGTCGGGGATGCGCCGGAGAGGATTTGGGTTAGAGAGATAGGGAGAGAAAGAGATCGGTTTGTTTGTAGGGTAGCGAGTCGTTGTCACATCGGATGCCGACTTATTTAAGATTGATTATAGAAATACGGTACAGTATCTGTGTACTTGTCTCTTTTTTCAGTATGTTACTGATCTTTTATTTCATATGTGGCAATAATAATACCATGGTTGTTTTGGATGTATGTGTTTGGATGTATACAATTTTCCTTTGTGCATGCATGTTTGGGTGTATATTACATACGGAATATTTTGGGTGTACATTAAACTAATTCAATACTAATGTTCCTTGACTTAAAGGTTAAAGATTCGGCAGAATAATCCTAGTAATATATGCTTTCTCTTTGACCAAAATAATAATAACAATTTTCTTTGACAGAAAAAAATAAAATAATAATAATTGGTTATTTGGATTGAAAGATCTTGGACTTGATGCTGAAGAGAACACTTGATAATCTATTATTATATAACCTTCTACAGGAACAAGTTACAATAATTTGCAAAATTTTGTTCCACTGTTTTGTATGATTACCTGTATCAACCTAATGATGAACACAGTTAAAAATCTGATGTTTTTATCATTAACATGTTCTCTGTTGAAATTAGCTTTAGTATTTGTAGGTGTATATCTATGGTCTTCATCCCAATAATCATCTAAGAAAATACCTTTGGAATAAATATATCTTCAAAAGGGGTCAGAACCAAAGTAAAAAAGATTTGGAATAAAAAGCATCAAAAGGGGTCAGAACCAAAGTGAAAAAAAAAAAAAAAGTTGTTCTTAATTAGTTTTATAAGTTTTGCAATCACCAAATTTCGCTAGAACATTTTGTTGAGTCCATTATCTTAACATTGCAGGACTTGCAGTCATCTTAGGTTCATTATTTTGGTGAATATGCTTAACTTGTGAATTTAGCCACTTATGAAGTACTCAAAGCTAACCCCTGCAGTCTGAGATTGAAGTTTTCTCAGCTTCGATCGATCACTGTATTCATTGACTTGGTTCAGAGCTTCACAGATTTTGATCCGGAGATAGCACAGCTTGGATGGAATCGAAGCCACAAAACTTGTTTGATTCAGTCAGATTCCATAACCTTAATAGGGTGTCCAAAGTAACACAGGGAGAGTATCATTCGAGACCCATGTAGTCTCTGACCAACTTCTCATGCGTGCATAATTAATTAATAATACACAAAAAAAAAAAAAAAAAAAAAAAAAAAACAACAGAATCAACATCTCTTTCTAGTTCCTACAAGTATGCATATAGAAATACATTCCAATCCAAATATGGACAAGAACAGTTACATGAAATGAAAAGGATGAGATCCTCAGCAGTTTCACATCTTCTTTTGCTTTTGCTTTTGCTTTTCTTTTATGATTTGTTTATCTACTTAATTTAATTTTTTTACAATATAATAATGAATTTTTATTTTTTGGGTACCATGTAAAACCTTAGTACATAACCACCAATGGTTGTAGGGAGGGAAAAAGTTAGAGGGCGCTCTTACTAAGCTTGAATCCTTGTAACAAAGACTATATATTTTTTTCAAAGAAAAATATATTATATTATATTATTTTATACATTTGTGTTTCCTATTTTAGCAAATTAAACGAATTGTGAAAGAAAAGGAAAGAACGAAGATTACACTAGGTTTCTCTCTATCTATAATTTTCTTTTTTCTATTAATATATTTTTATTATATATATATATTCAAGATAAAAAATTGTAACTTTTAATTATTTTTGACGATTTAATAGACGGGTTAAGATATCACTTATTCATGGTAAAAAGTTAAATTGAAGTTATTAAGTTATATGAGGGTTTTGATACTATAATAGTAAGTTTTGCTATTTTTTTTTTCTATATTAATAAATTTTCCATATTAAAAAATTACTTTAAATCACACAAAAAGCCAATAAGTTTCACAAATAAATACAGTAGTTACCTAATTCAAAATAAAATCAGAGAAGTATATCATTTTCCAAAACCAACAACTTTGATAGGCATCAGCAGGTAAGCCCATCCTAACCTTCCCCTTTCTGGATGGTCATGGTGGACGGACTAATTAATCCACTTAAAGGCCCAACTTCCGCTGAAATTGGGCTACCAATTAATCTACTTTATTAATATGGGCCCAACTTGACGAGTTTTCAAGTTAAACTGGGCTACTTTTTTTTTTTTTTTGGGGCGGAAAATATTACCCAATCTTACATGTGAGGCCCGTAATTTTACTTTTAACTTAAGTGTAGAAAGTTAAGGGTTCACATGAATCACATCACATCCAGAATAAAAAAAACATGTTTGGTATGCGTTTTTTTTTTTTTTTTTTTTTTAATTAAAAACAAAATAAATATTTTATTGTAGGGTGTTTTAAAAGTAATCAGAATCATGTTTGGTAACATCTATTTGTTGTGAGTTGTTTGGAAGTAAAAACTTGAAATCATATTTGGTAAAAAAATGTTGCAAGTTTAAAAAATATAATGATTGGTTTGAAAAAGAGTTTTATTATTTATTTATTTATTTTTTTTAAAAAACAAAAACTTATTTTTACTGTTTATCGCTACAATAACAATTGGTATACTGTTGAAACATATAAAAATACCAAATTAGTGTTTCGATTATTAGCCACCATTCACAAAACGTTTCGACACAAAGTAAAACAAAATATTTTTTTACCAAACGTGTTTTTTCTACTATTCACTGTTACAATATTTGACAAAAATAAAAATTCCAAAAAAGTATATCAAACAGGTCCAAAATAAATGTATAAATGTGTTTTTTTGTTAAGTTAAAAAACATATTAAATAAAAATATACATACTGCAATAAAATCAGCTAAGCTTGCCTACTTTTTGGAAAATATAACCAATCTCCCAAGCTTACATGTGAGGCACGTAATTTGACCTTTCGGTATACTACTGCTACAAGATCTGAATTTTCAATAATAAGTCTAAATATGAATCTGAATTCCGAGAATAAGTTTAAATATGACTCTGAATTCTCAAGAAAAAGTCTAAATATGACCGCAAGAATTTTTGAGAGAAATTAAAGTCTCTTGTTGCGTCTCAAATTTAAACGCATGCCTGTTAGAACCTCAACAGCATACTATAAAAAATGCACTTCCTCCCGTCTCAAAATAAATATTCATCTTGAAAACTGTGTGACTTATAGAATTCGTCCAAAATAAATATCCATTTAGCAAAATTGTGACTCAAAAGGTGATTTTTTTTTTTTTTTGGGACATAGTGAATAATACTATTGAAAAATGCTCTCCAAGCCCAACACTTTTTGAAGTAAATTTGTTGAATTAGTGTTACATTTTGTTAAATAAATAGGCCTTCTCGCTCTCAGGTAGAATGCCTCCAAAAAAATTATTTATTTTATACTGTTATTTTCCTAATTTTTATTTATTTATTTATTTCTTTTTATAAACAATGCTGTCTCAAGTCGCATAAATAAAAATGTCTTTCTGATGTTGACTTATAGACTAATAAAAATGTGACACGTGTCAAAATTTTTAAAAAATAATTCATATTTGAGATTTTCTATTGCAGACTCTAAAAATTGACCGTAAATTATTAGAGTTTAAGAATAAAGAAGGTGGCAAGTATCCTTAAACTCTGCCACCTCCTCCATTAGAAGGAGAGCCCTGCTGTCTAAGACAAATGTCATGTTATTATTAATTCATATCAATGTCAATATTAGAAGGAGAGCCATAATTATGCAACCTAAGACAAACTTATTCCTTTTTTTATTCCTATTTTATTAGACTCCAACCAAATAGTAGAGAGATTTAATAACTTGACATTAACTATTATAATTCCAACGTCAATTTTTATATTTTTAGCTTGAGCAGCCACTGGATGGACCAGAACAATTCAAACATCATCGGGAGTCCACCCAAAAGCATCATTGTCACAACGAGTATCATATTGAATCATCTAAGAAACGAATAGTGCGTATATACACATATATATGTGTGTGTGCGCGTGTGTTCAGTTCAGTTCCCACTTTTGATTTGATTTTGAGTTGTTTCATATTCTCATTTTTATTTTACCAACCAAAATATGGATTTAGAATCTTCTCCTTTGAAGGTGAATGAAAAATCTGTTGATGGGCCTTGTTCATCTCCCAAACGCATGAGCAGAAGAAGAAAGATATGTTTGTTGGTGACTTTTGGCGTTATATTGGCGGTGGTTCTTCTGATTGTCATTTTAGCACTCACCGTCTTCAAGCCCAAAGATCCCGTCATCACCGTCAACCCCGTCTCTCTCGAGAATCTGGACTTCTCTCTCGACGCGTTGAACGGCCGCAGAGTATACCTGAACGTCACCGTCGATGTCAGTCTCTCCGTTAAAAACCCTAACAAAGTCGGGTTCAATTATAGGAACAGCTCTGCTTCCTTGAAATACATGGGCGAACTCGTCGGAGAAGTGCCGATTCCGGCCGGGAAGATATCCGCCGACAAAACCAAACCTATGAATGTCAGCGTCACCGTATTGGCGGATCGATTGCTCACCAATTCCAATGCCTACTCGGACGTCCTCTCTGGTACGTTGCCTCTCTCTGCCTCCACTAGAATTTCCGGCAAGGTTCGTATCTTGAATTTCATCAAAATTGGTGTTGTTGCATATGCAACCTGCGATTTCACCATTAATGTTATGACTATAACTGTTGCTGATCAAACTTGTGACTATAAAACCAAATTATAAATGAGAGACAATTTGACTTGGAGATAGATCAAATAAATAAATAAATAAATAAAATTTATAAATTTTGAAAGACTTCAATTTGTTTGTAGAGTTGGAGTCGTTGCCGAATCGATCGGATGCGGACCTAAGTGCTTATTTAAGATTGTCTTTTTTTTTTTTTTTTTTCCTCAGTGGTCTGTACGGTTCTTTATTTCATACTACGTGGCAATAAAAAGATCGCGTTTTGTATATACAATTTTCTGCATGTGAATGTATTTTAAAATTTTGTTGCACCATATTTAATTGGGTATCAGAAAGATGTTGGACTCTAAGGTGAAGACAAAATTTGATCTACATGAACAGGTAACAATAAGATTAATGCAAGTAGACACTTTGAATTATTAATAATGACAGCAAAATGCAGTAACATTATAATGCATTTTTTCTACATCAATCCCAATTTTTGAAGTAAATATATTTTATCATATTGAATTTTAGAGATTGAAATAAATATATTTTAATCATATTGAATTTCAGAGATTGAATCGTCGATTTATTTCCGTGATATTCTTCATCAATATGAATAAAAATCAGATTCTTCTTTTTTTTTTTTTTTTTTTTTTTTTCATAATCATCAAGCTTAATTTTGATTGGATCAAAACACAAATGTTACAAAGTGTAGGAGGCATACCCAATCTAATTTTTTATAATTTTTTGTCATTAATAAGAAAAACACAAACTCACTTTGTCTTTTTAGGAACTTCAATTCTCATTATTTATTTTGGGAGGTAAATGAAATACCACTAGGCCATAAGATGTTTAGTTAAAAATAATTTTGCTTTAAATATTACTCCATAATCCTACTAAAGTTTTATTATTATAGTACGTGGTGGGAAATGAGTTTTTAAATATACTCTTTTATAATGAGATCTCATGCTTTAATCAAAGAATAAATTGAGAATATTACAACAAAAAATTAAGAATAATACTATCACGAGAGTTCTCTCATGACAAGATACATGAACTTTTCTTATTTTGCTATTGAATTAAAACATTTTACTGAAATTTGTGAAAAGTTAAAATGATCTTTTTAATGTATCTTTTAATTTATTAGTTAAGTAAAAAAAAAAAAAAAACTTATCAATAAGATGACTCCCATAATACCATTACTAAAAAAAAAATTAAATTGGACAATAAAAAATAAATAGTAATAATATAGAGAGAGTATAGTTTAGTGACCGACCTAAGAATAACTGTTCTTGGTCAGTAAATAGCAATAGAAGTGACCAATGACCGTGGTTGTCAACTTGATCATTCAGTAGCAATAAAAGTCAACAATGTTTTCAATTGAATGATTGCAACGTAGGGCGACCACGGGTCACTTTATTGCAATTATTTTCAAGTTTCATAGCTAATGGGAGGTCCAACTTTTTGCCCGGTCACTCTGATTTTTAAACTCAGCCTCAGCCTCAGCCTTACTGTACTCACGCACTGTACTTCTCATTCCTCCCATTACAAAAAAGAGCTCACTCAAGCGTCTACCAAATAAGCTGCCATTCACAAAAATGATTTTTAGTGTAGTATTCAGCTTAAATAGCATTATTCACAACAGTAACTAACACCATAACATTTGAATAGAAGACGCCAATATAGGATTGTGCGTTTTTGCCAAAGTTCGAGACATAAAGGAAGGAGGGTGTCCCGCCAATGAAAAAAAATACATACAATTTGAGAGCAATTTTTACAAAAATATATATATAGCTATCAATGTAATCTTATAACTAGTTGGTGCGTACTTTATCCACCCTATTTTGATTTGGTTATGTCGAATGAATACAATCAAGCGGAATCCTGTTTGAATACAACATACAAAAAAAAAATTTGAAAACTCAAAAATGAAATAGAAAAACACAAGATCAATAAAAGAGTGCCAAGAGAGAGAATATGAATAAATAAATTAGAAAAAAAAAAAAATTGTTGTTTGGGTATGACAGCATGCAATTTTAGGACTGGACATGCAAGATATGGGATGTAGAAAATACCAGAGGAAGAAGACCATGCCGGAGGAGAAACTAGGGATGGACAATAAGAGAGTTGGCGACATAGTAGTAGTCTTCTACAAACCTCCTTTTTTACACGACCAACATGAACCGATGCAGCCATTGAACAACTCCTAAAAACCAATGTTCTAAAACAACTTGAATTCACAAAGTTAGAGAAAATTTTCAGAAGTTAAATAGCAATAATTAACTGATCAGAAGTGTGTGACCATCTCTCTAATTGAAATAACCTTTTTGAGCCATAAATTTTTGGTCACCATGGTTCTTCAATATTCTTTGTTAAGTTACCAGAATTCGGACCAAAATATTGGAAATAACAAAAAAAAGAATTAGCTGAAAATTAAGTATACAACCATATATATCTCGTAGTAGGAGTATAACGCAAGGCTATTATTTGGTTGGGCTAAAATTATACTCCCTCCGTCCCATATTAGTAGTCTATTATTTTATTTTTATATGTCCCAAATTAATTGTCCTCTTTAAAAAGTCAAAACATCTTTCCTTTATATTTTCATTATTGTCCTTTATCTTTTTAAAAATTTCAAACTTTGTAACTATATATATTTAAATTAGAAAGAATAATTTGGTAATTTTAAAAGAAAACAATGCATTAATTACATGTTCCCTTAAAAATTTTAATTTTTATAAATGAACCTCTCTTGTGGAAGGGAAGTAATACTACAAAAGGACTAATATTATATTGCTATTGGATTAGCTTAATACGGAGTAACTACTACCTACGAACTAAATATTTAATATATTGACTTGGACTAACATATTTGCGGGTCAAGTTTGAGTTTATGTAATATTAAGACAAATATATTGGGTTGGGCCATACTGAAAAATTTCAAGAATGTTGAGGGGCCAAGTTTTGGATATATATAAGATTAAGACTAAAGATTTGGGCTGGCGATACACCTCTAGGAAATGAGCTGCACAGTCACCAACGTCAAAAGAAAAATGATTCTAGTATTCCATTTAAATAGCATTACTCACAATAATAACAACAATTATTGTGAACAATTTTAACACCTTATTTGTATATCAACAATTTTAACACCTTCCCAAGAGGCAGTACTACTAGAGTTAATTGCTAAGATAGAGAATAAGAATAAATAAATTAGAAAGAAAAAAAAAAAAATTTGTTTGGGAATCAGCAATTTTAGGACAATTCTGACATGAGATGTAGAACATACCAGAAGGAGCATAGGAAGAAGACCATCGACATTGCAAGGCAGGTCTTGGTTGAATAGGAGACTGAACATGTAGAGAAACCAAAGATGGACAATAAACATGACGAGAGAGTTGGCGACATTGTAGTCTTCTATAAAACTCGTTTTTCACACTTGAAACACGAACCAATGAAGCCATTGAACAATTCCGGAAGGAAGCTAAGAAAGTTCTGAACCATAAACAATTTGAATTCACAATTTTACAGAGAAATTTGATATTGTATTAATAATTAAATTGGTAATTATAATATGTAGTTATAATAATAATAATAATAAAAAAAACTAAACCATAAGCAAATAAAACCTTTTATCACAATTTGGAACCAAAATCCTTTGGGATTTTCATTTAGGAAATAGAAAAGAAATTGGATTGTAACTAATAAAAATTATATTTTGATGTTCGGAAGAAACTGGAATTTGTAAAATGGAATTTGAAATAAATTAAACTTTTTACCACTTTGGGATAAAGAGACATGATAGTTATAAAGAAGGTTCATAAAATTAGAGACTTAAAATAGTTAACAAAATGATAATTTTGTAATTACATTTCAAATCCTATCATTTTTCTCATATTTCTACACTATACCAAATTTTCTTTAGAATCCAATAAAATCACATTCTATTTTAAAATCCGATCATTCCAAACAAGTGAAATTTTATTAGAGAAAATTTTGATTTAATTTTATAAGTTATTTTTCTTTAATTTCATCGATTTTAATTTCGAAGATCAAATTCAAAACAACCGAACATAAACCTAAATATAAAATTTAAGAATAATACCTAGTCGGTGTAGGCGACTAAAGAACTCCCGAAAAAAGAAAAAAGAAAAAAATAATAAATAAATTTGACACATTTTTTTCTACTACAATTCTATGAGTAAATGATACGTTCTATTCGAATGAGTTAATGGACCCTCATCACGTGAGTGGGGCTCTCCCCATAACTGTAATACCACAACTGTAATCCTATCCTCATCAAATTCTTTTAAGAAGTTTAGTAAGGTAATAACTCTTTTCCCTCAAAATATATAATCCTTACCTCATCAAATTCTTTTATGAAGTTTAGTAATGTAATAACTCTTTTCTCTCAAAATATATTATCCACATTTTTAATTTTATCCGCCCCCAAATTAAAATGACTGTCGCATCTAAAAAGTTCAATATACTATTTTCCTTATCATAAATATTCATAATGGACCCAGACTTCTCTCTTTAATGACTCGCGCTTGCAATATTTATGACAAAATATAGCAATTTTCAAAATGTCCCATAATGTGTTTGCTTTATAGCATAGTGTTCTCCTTTTATTGACTTTCTCAAGTAACATGAAAGGCAAAAGATAAGAAAAACAGGACCAAAAGCAGCCGCCCCAACTTTCTCTCCCACCTCTCTCTAACTTTCTCTCACTAGCAGCTTTGTCCTCTTCACTTTGTCTCCCTTCCGTGGGAGTGGAGAGATGAAACCCGCCTCTTACAACGGTAATAAACTCGGCATGTTTTAATAAATGCATTATGTAAATGTTTTTTTATGTCTTTTTTGTTTTTTTTGGTTAGATCTGTTTCATGTTTGGTTCGTTTTCGAATCATATGGACGGATCTGTTATTTTCTCCGACTAGATATCTGGTCTAGGTCAGTTTTGATTTTTCATGCCTTGATTTAATTTTTTTCTCCTTGATTTAATTTTGTGCGGGATTTCTTAGGTGTTAGAGCGCCTTATGGTTGTAACTTTGGAGTGGTTTTCGTGCTTATGGCCAGGTCTCTCCTGTTTGCTCTCCCATAGTGGATCCGTTTGCACAGTGTCGGGCTTTGTTTCCTCCACAAATTTGGAGTTTGTTGTTCATTTATTTGCCTGTTCTTCATTTATTTGCTTTGCTTCAAGATTTGTATGCCTTTTTTGGCTTGACTTTTATGTCTCTGTACTGCCATCTTGACTTTAGGCCTATGTGCCTTTGAATGACTGGAAATAAAAAAAAATAAAAAAAAGGCCAAACACTGCCAGTGTTACGACTCCATCAAAATTCTCATTTTAGTCATAGGTCATAACCCCAACAAATTGTCCTCTCCACTGATAGCCAACAAATTCCTAATAATTTTAAAAATCTTTTATATCATCTTCAAACAGGACTCCAGCGGTAGCCCACAAACTGATGAATTTTTTCCCCTAGATTTAACAAATAAAACTTAGTATCTACAAGGTTTGTCAAGGTAGAATAAATTTACTGGGATTACAGAATAATGTGAAGCACCTAATTCCACACAACACACTTCCACACACACAACAGGTCCACTGTCTTCATCATCGATCAATGGAGAAATCTTGCCTTCATCAAGGTTGGAAGGTTTCCCAAGTTTTGTTGACGTGCAGGGTTGTATTTTCCCATCAAGTAACATCTGTTTCCTTTCCAAACAGATCTTCGAGCAATTTAAAAGGACATTGCAGCTCCTCTTGCTCCGTTACACCATTACTCGATCTCCAAACTTGAATTTTCATCTGTTTATTGGTCACTCCCAACACTCCTCTTCATCCTTCCTGTCATTAGTTGATATCAAAATCATAAAAATTTCATAGTAGTATGTTTTTGAGTCACTCCCAACAAATTCAATATCAAATTATTTCAACCAAAAGTCAACACTGATGATATCAACTATATTGGCGGAGTCAGCGTGTTCCGGGGGCAGCTGCCCATGATGCCCTATTAGAATTTTTTATTTTTTTATACATGAATTTATGAAAATTGACACAATGCTCCTCCTAAAATTAATAAAATGGCCCCTTTGTCCCTGAATCCACTAAATTTTATTTTATTTTATTTTATGCGTATAATTTATAAATATTTATAAAACACCCTCATAAAATTTATAAATTATTTCTATAAAATTATCTATTTCTAAAAATGTCTTTAATTCTTTATTCATTTTCTTTCTTATTATTCAAATTTATTTTTGTTATCTTAAAAAACTTTTGCATTCTCTTTCTATAATTACAATCTATTTTTTTCCTTCAAAATTCTCTCATATTTTTTTCTTTTTATTTCATTTTTTTCTTAAAAATTTCTTTTTTTTGCACTCAAGCATAATTTATGTGTAATAACATTTTTTTTTCATTATTCTAATGCATTGTTGTTACCGTTGTAGTTTCGACTTACTTGAAAAAAAATTATTTTATTAGTATTAACATGCCCCTCGGAACCAAATTCCCGCCATTTATTATACATATGCCTAATACATTAATTCTCATTCGCAAATAACATATTATGAGCAATGTAGAATTGTATAAAATGTTCGGAAACACAGCACAAATAGGAAAAGGTAATTCTAGGCGTTGATTTTGATCATGTAGGCATACATATATTTCTAGAGTTCAATATAAGCTTTCTATTCTTGATCCACAGTTAGCTATTTCAATTTCATCGAACTTTTTTACTTGAGCTTCGAGTAGTACATTCATCAGATATGATTAAAAATTTATTGACTTCAACTGTTAGACATGATTGTTATGTTTTTTTTTGGTAATTACCCCTTTTACACTTAAATCATATCTATCGGTCACTATACTTGGTGTGGAGAACATTTCTTGCTCACGATAAGCAAGAGATCATTTACTTGTACATCCATGTTATCACAATTTATCAGCTACAACAGTAGAAACAGATCCTAGAAATATTATGCAACACTCAGCATTGAAGCATCACAATCACGAAAAAGATATCTCCATTCAAAAATGCTACTATAATCTTTTTAGCTCTAATTTAATTATACTTTTATGTAATATTTCCATTCAAAAATACTACTAGAATCTTTTTATCTCTAATTTAATAATACTTCTACAGAGTTCCAAGAGTTTGGAGATTGAAAAATCTACACAAAAAATATTGAAATAAAAAAAGATATATGAGCAAATTTTACTGAACTATTACTAGAACATATAGTGATAGTATATTGATGGTATTGAGGAAGCATACTAGATTATGATTGTATTTATTATGGTGTCATATATGGAATTGATTTGTATATCTAACAACTGTTTTAAATTAACATGGTTATCTTAAAAGTGTGTGTTTTTTTTTTTTTTTTTTTTTTTTTTAAAAAAATCTAATCCTAAATTAATTCGAAGTAATCTTTCAAAGAAAAAATCACCCTCAAACACATAATAGTTCGGTAGTTCCATCATTATATGCATGAATTTCCCAATTTTGTAGTTAAAAGTCCAAAAGATCTATGAAATGTTTTCATTATATGCATGAATTTCCCAATTTTGTAGTTAAAAGTCCATGAAATGTTTTCATTATATGCATGAATTTCCCAAATTTGTAGTTAAAAGTCCAAAAGATCTATGAAATGTTTTCATTATATGCATGAATTTCCCAATTTTGTAGTTAAAAGTCCAAAAGATCATAAAATGTTTTCATTATAGATAAGACCAAACAAGGACAATACTAGAAAATTCATCATTCCTTTCTAGGAATTTTAAATTGTTAACATAGTTCTGACTTACTAACAAAAAGTTTAACACGAAACATATATGAGATATCTTCTTGGAGACGAAAGCACTAATTATCACTTTCCCCACCCCTTAGGTGTGTGCGTGTACCAGTGGTGTTTAGTGCTCCATTTCTTTGAACTACAGCACTAATTTATCACTACGCATTTCTCTTACATCTTACACACAGGGGTACGTGGCATTTAAAAGTACACTTAAGAATTTTCTTTGACCAATTTCTTTATTTTTTGAGAGAAATTAAATATATATATATATATATAGTGGGAGGTAAGTAAAAAGTAAATTAAAAATAAAAAAAATTAAGCAGCTAGAAAAGATGGTTAAAAACCTCACATGATCATCCATCTGTTAGAGCAAGTCATAACACACTTCTAAAATCACGTAGTGAATGCCATAAGAATTCTCATTGTAGTTATTAGTGAACCATCTAAAACAGTAAAAAAGCAAAAGAACTCCTTGTAGCAGCCGGTACTTCTAATCCCTGCTAAATATAAAATACCAATTTTGGTATAAATATTTACAAATTAAGTCTCCACATACACCTTCTATCTTTTGCATCAGTTAATAGTGAACATAGAATGTGAGCATGAAATTTATTATGAAGTGTAAAAAGGTTGAACGTTCTCACGGGTAAAATGAACTTCAAAACCATACAAAATAGCTAATAAAATTTCAGTGTTTTTTTTTTTTTTTTTTTGAAAAGTAAATTTACATAAAATTTCAGTTGCATAAATAAGCTTACGTACGTTTTAATCCTCTCTCAAAGAAGAGGCTCGACCATAAGTTGTACACCTATTGGATGCAGCGGCTACCTAATTTTGTGTCAATTACTCTCAATAGGACAATTAACTCATGGGAACCTGACAACATGAGTTTTTAAACCTTGATGTTGGCATCAACTTGACACGCAAAACATGTTGCACCTACAGGTTGATAAAAATCCAAATCATGTTGTCTTCTTGTGGCTGCAATGTGCTCGATCACTAGTGCTTTCTTCACCACTTTGAGTTAGAAACCACAGTCAGTTTTCATCCAAATGGTCCACTGTGATAGACTACAAGAAATCCTGCTATCCTCAAATACCATGTACCAATAATAATTAATGGCATATAATTTTGAAATTTCAAAGTTAACTCTAAATCAAACTTTTTAAAATTCATATAAGGTGGTGTAAATAAAGAAATGTAATGACACTAATTGATAGTGACTGATAATTTTATTTATTTCAAATTTTAGGCCAATGAAAAGGAAAGTACCAAAATATTGGAGTAGAGCAGTATACTCAGGCATTTGCGTACAGAACAAGAAATGCCAGCTTCTGCGCGCATGGGTAACATGCTTCTGTTTTATGTTTATCCTGTAGAAAAGCAAAGAAAGAACAAATGGTAAATGAAAAGCAGAAAGACTGGAGCTAATTATCATTTTGAAGAGAGAAACATAGATGGACAGAGTAATAATGACTTAGGCTCCGTTTGTTTCGATGTAAAATATTTTTTTTGAAAAATATTTTTTTATTTTTACTTTTATCGGTGTTTGGCAAAGGCCTATGTCGAGATTGAGGTCGAGTCTATCGGGCGGGACATGTAAAATAACTCTTCAAAAATTGATGGATAAATTATTTGTATTAAATTTTAATATTTTTTTTCTTCATAAATATTTTATGACAACCAAACACAACAGAAAATATAAAAAATATTTTTTGAAAAATATTTTACGTGTAAACAAAGGAGCTAATCTCAATAGATTGACATTTCAAGTTTCAATTTGCAGTACTGTCGGCAGGAATTTAAGCCGTAGTAGTAGACCAGGTGTCTCTCACTATCAAGGCCTTGTTCTTTCATCGTACTACATTCTTCCACCTAAGCCCCAATCTCTATCTTTTTCTTAACCTTCAGTTTTGCCGTAATTATATTTAAAGAAAACTTGAATTTAAACACATTGCAAACCACTTTAAGCGCGCATCAATTTGTTACCTCTCCGTTTCTTTTCTCGTTTTTTGCTTTTAATTTGGGTTATTTAACTGTTATGTAGCATAAGCTAGTGACCATGAGAAGTTTATTTCCTCGAAAGCCTGAGTTGAAACTGACCGGTGATGTAACAGGTAGTCTCAGCGATGCTTGGCAGTGTATACTGGTTTCTGTGGTAGTTCCACTTCTAGTCGTAGCAGTTTACTTATGCGCAGGGATGTCTATTATGGTTTTTGTAGAAAGGGTTTACATGGCAATTGTTATCATTTGCGTAAAACTGTTGGGGAAGAAAAGATATACCAAGTATAAGTTGGAAGCCATGAAAGATGGTCTAGAGCAAAACAAAAGCTGTCCCATGGTGCTGATTCAAATACCCATGTTTAATGAAAAGGAGGTATATATACAAAATTTTACGTACTCTGACATCATCATATGCATAGTTCTATATATAGAATATATACACAGTGCACAGTTATCATTTTGACGTGTATGAAGCATCACTATTTACATTTAAGGAAGAAAAAAAAGCATCACTTTTTACCATCCAAAAAGATCTATGCATCTCATTTTTATACTCGCATAATATCATGGACATTAATTTTTTTATTCAGCGAATGATTAATAATTCTTAATGATTGTGTTTAATTTCCTGTCAAAGAGGATTTTATTACTGCTCTTGCAGAACTTTAATATAGAAAAGTTTAACTCACCCGCTGTAGTTTAGTGAGATTATACTCATAAATCACTTATTACTTTAAACTATTGTTTGTGTTTCAAAAAAAAAAAGGTGTCTCTACAAGTTATCAATACAAATTCTACTAAATGATGTTAGTCATATTAGTGCCAATATTATATATATGTAGATGGTGTTTTCAAGCTTTTAGGATTTCTATATATAGGGGTATGGGCTGGAATTGTGACACCTCTATTCTGAACATGAACCACCACCAGCCAGATAATACCAATACAGACCTTCCAATGTTAGTTGTCATGATCTAATCTTTGCTCTAAATACATATATTTTTTCACATATTACAAATGAAAAAACAAACAGAAAACAAAAAAAATCTATTTGACATGTCATGCGACATAACTGTTACGAGCTTTATCTAAGCTAATCAACAAAAAACTATAAAAATGCGAGTTGGTGGTAAACTTTCATGTCATCTCTCATCAGAACTCATCAGACTTGTCAATTTCTTATAACAGACATATCAGATTGGTGCCAACCTGACCTAGCTAATGCCAAACGTGTTCGTTAGTATTGCACATCTACACTGATGATCGATCATATCTATGATGACCATAATGACATGGCTTATTTATAATATATCTTTTAGAAATTAAATTTAGAAAAGAAAACCACCTACCCCCAGGTGGCATTGGGATTGGGGTACACAAAGGGCAGGTCAGTCCTGAGATTAAAAAAATCTTGAAAGGCCCTAGCCGAACATTAAAAGTGAGGCTCTCTATATATTATTATTATTATTATTTTGAGGCCCCTTTAAATGATTTGCGGCATTTGGTTACAATTTTTTATTTTTTTATTTTTTTGGTGGCCCTTCATTCATGGACCTATAAATTTTGAGGCCCCTTAAATGATTTGCTGCATGCATGTGGTTACAAATTTTTTTTGGTCGCCTAGGGCCAGGGCGGACCTGACAAAGGGAAGCCCTCCCCCAAACTAATAAACCAATCCCAATCCTAGTGAGGGTGAGATTTAATCCCAGGTCACTGGCATGACTACCTAGGAACTTCTAAGCCAACACAACCTTGAAATAATACACATTTCTTCTTATTTGCCTTTTTTAGGTTTACAAGCTCTCCATTGGAACTGCATGTGGGCTTCACTGGCCATCAGACCGTCTCATTGTTCAAGTTCTTGATGACTCTACCAACGAAGTCCTAAAGGTATCTCTTTGAACTCAATAAACTCTAGTGAACTCTGTTATGGACATGTGATTTGCATTAATTTCATGTATTTGCATATGCAGGCATTGGTGGAGTTGGAGTGTCAAAAATGGCTAGAGAAAGGGGTAAACGTGAAGTACGAGATGAGGAACAACAGGAACGGGTACAAGGCCGGCGCTCTTCGCGATGGTCTAAAGAAGCAGTACGTGAAAGATTGCGAGTTTGTAGCTATCTTCGATGCAGATTTTCAGCCTGAAGAAAATTTTCTTTGGAGGACCATTCCTTATCTTCTTGAGAACCCAGAGTTGGGGTTGGTTCAGGCCAGGTGGAAATTTGGTAGGGCCTATAACAGTGTTACGTAGTTATGTTCACATTACAACTGTCTCTTCACCTACTATATTTATCATGACCTTCAAATCTTTGTTGACGACTCATACTTGTGGGAAATGATATGGATTGGAGGTATGTGAATCTCATTGCTACAATTGTTTGATAGAATTGGCTTTCATGTTTGGTAATTCATTAAATTACTTTCTGCAGTGAATGCGGATGAATGTCTAATGACTCGGCTCCAAGAGATGTCACTAGATTATCACTTCAGCGTTGAGCAAGAAGTTGGCTCCTCAACTTGTTCATTCTTTGGGTTCAATGGTAAACTATATCAGATATTGAATTCGAGACAAAAAATTTCTGTGTAGTAACCAGTCGGAAACCACTTGTAGATAACATAATTTGCAACACTCTAGCTACCTGATTACAATTGTAGGGACTGCTGGTGTTTGGCGGATTAAAGCAGTGAATGATGCTGGTGGATGGAAAGACCGAACAACAGTAGAAGACATGGATCTTGCAGTCAGGGCTAGCCTCAAGGGTTGGAAATTTGTCTTTGTGGGGGACTTAGCTGTGAGTTTTATGTTCTTATTCCCAATTCACATTTTCTGCTATGTCTACAAGTATCATCAGTAAACCAAACACCAAAAAAATTTACTTTACAGGTCAAAAATGAACTCCCAAGCACATTTAAAGCTTATCGATATCAGCAGCATCGCTGGTCTTGTGGCCCAGCCAATCTCTTGAGGAAAATGACCAAAGAGATCATCCTTTCTGAGGTAAAGAAAGTATAATATATCTTCTGCTTTATCTTAGGTAAAACTGAAAAAATTGAATATTGGATTTGAATTCCATAATTCTTTCAGAGGAAAATCACATAATAAATATATATCATTATTATCCTATGCAGAGGGTGTCAATCTGGAAGAAATTTCATGTGATATATGCATTCTTCTTCGTGAGGAAGATAGTAGCGCATTGGGTCACTTTTATATTTTACTGTATAATTGTTCCAGCAAGTGTCTTAGTTCCTGCAGTCCATCTCCCAAAGGCAATAGCCATATACATTCCAGCAACCATCACCATTTTAAATGCGCTCTGCACTCCAAGGTATTTAAAAATCCAAAGATACCAACATATATAAACACCTCTTCATCTATTCGATCTTTTAGATTTTTCAAAATATATGAAGTAAAATTATACACAGGTCTTTGCATCTTCTTGTCTTCTGGATCCTGTTTGAGAATGTCATGTCTCTACATCGATCTAAGGCGGCGATTATAGGACTTCTAGAAGCCAACCGAGTTAATGAATGGGTGGTGACCGAGAAGCTAGGGAACACCATGAAACAGAAGTACAATGCCAAGGCATCAAAGAGACCACGATCATGCATTGGAGAAAGGTACTTCGCATATCATAGATACATTATCTTTCAATTGACAATGCCGGCCTTCAGTGGATGAAGATGGAATTCGTAGGTAGGTGAAATAAAGAAAAACAAAATCTGAAAATTAACTACGGCACTTTGTTGAATCATCAAACATGTAATTCTAACACTGATTGATTTTACAAACAGGATCCACATCACGGAGCTGGTAATGGGAATGTTTATGCTGCATTGTGCTATCTATAACCTCCTCTTTGGGAAAGATCATTTCTTCATATATCTATTCCTGCAAGCAGGGGCTTTCTTCATAATAGGACTTGGGTATGTTGGGACATCCGTATCCAACTAGAGCTGTGCACCCCAAAATTAATCCATCATTAGTAAATGAGAGTACAACTGGTATATGATCAAGTGTACCTAGTAAAGTAATAATCTATATGTGCCTAGTAGAGTTTTTAGGGAATCACACATTGTATCATACTCTGTATTACTTACTACACAATAGCAAGCAAGTGCATATGCTACGGCGGTGTTCTAAATAAATCTCACCAGTTTGTTGTTGCATTTATTTTTTCTGCCCCCCCCCCACATATGCCACGTGGAAACTTCCATCATGACCCACTGGGCTACAAGGCCAATGGTCGCCATTTTGTTTTGTCATTCGGAGCCAAAAATCTTCTCTATAACTATTTGGTGAATAAGTTTCAAAGACTGAATGAACTTTAAAGGCTAATTTGTAATCCTTAAGCTAACCTGTCATTCTCTTCCCAAAGTTTGATATAAACCACAAACATGGAGGAATTTTCCAAATCCAAGGGACCAGAAAACTGGGGCAACACAATTATTATTATTATTTAAAAAAAAAAAAAAAAAAGAGAACCAAGGGATCATGCTAAACAAATGCATGCTAGGAAATTGATTTCTTTTCCTTCACTTTCACTTTCCATTGTTGATTTTGCACTTCACTTTCTTTCACTTTTCATTGTTGAATTTCATCTAACAAAACGGACCCTTATTGTGTAACTTTAATTTATCACTATACCATCCGTTTCTATCTAATGGATCCTTTCAAGTTCAAGGGTTATGTGTTTTTGTTCCTCTTTTCTTTTTCTTTTTCTTTTTCATTTTCATTTTTTTTTCTTTTTCAACGATTAAATGTTGCTTGACTGTGATTATGTCTTTGTATTCGTGATGGTCGGTTGAACCTGGGTAATGCATACATCACTCGGAAATGGAATGGGTTGCTTCTAGACACCTATCTAGGTGGAAAATTTTAGATATACGTTTTTTAAGATTACTACATTATTGAATTATCACGACCTATTAGATTCTCTTGCTACTGTAATTTCCTAAATGATACCTATAAGTTCTATGTCTCTTTGATTGAATATTAATATTAATATCTTGCAATACCCAATTCATAAGCACAAAAACTGTATCCTTGTCATCAAGTCTTGAAATATATATATATATATATATAGGGCTAAATGTTTTCACACCTCGTTTCCACTTATTGCACTCATATTAAACCTAAGCCAAAATTATTCTCACACTCCTTAAAAAAAAAATGAAAAAGTATTTTTACTATTATACCCTTAACTTTATTAAATCTCATACTTATGTCATTGTTGGCTTGTGCAGGTCAAACGCGAAATAACAATATTACTCTTTATTATTTAATTGACAAAAAAAAAAAAAAAAAAGTAAAACTAAAATCCTCAATGGCCACCACTGCGCTGTCTACCTCGGCTAACCACAAAGGTCTTTCTGGCCCTCCTGGATCCTCGACTCCGGTGCCTCTATTCATGCCTCATGCTCACCCTTGCAGAAACCTCTTCATATATTGATTGCATATGAATCTCTATTCTCTGTGTCTCACCATAGAGCCATTACCATCACTGGCGTGCGTCGCCGACTTGCTACCGGATTCTCACTCTCCGGTCCCAATTCAAAGATCCAATTTTAGGTGCTCCCTGGATTCCAATGTCTCGGGCTACATTAACAATATTTAAATAAATCTTTTCATATATATATATATATATGTATGTATGTTAATAGTGGTTACCAAAATAGTTCTTCTTTTTTTTTTTTTTTTTTTTTTGGGGGCAAACCAACTCTTTGTTTGGTTGCCGAGAAATGAAAGGAAAATAAAATGGAATTTTGTTAATTTGGAAACTAAAATGGATTTAAAAAAAAAAACATTATATCATGGTTTTTTTTTTTTTGGTAAACTAACCTTTGTTTCTATTTTTTTTTTTTTTTGGTAAATTCTATATGAATGACTTTGAAAAATAGTGATGGCCATGGCTACCAATCTTTTTTCCCTCCCAGGTGGTTGTGGTTGTGGTGTGGTGGTGGTGGTGGTGGTGGTTGGGGGTGACTATGATTTGTTTTATGCTCTTCCAGTGGTATTGTGGTTGTGGTATTGTTTGGGTTGGTCATGGAAGGACTGTTAGGGTTATTTTGGTTCTTAAATTGGTATTATATTTACATAAAATCATGAAAGGTAATTTAGGCATTATATTTTATCAATTCAAAAATTATAATTTAGTGGCAAAATTAAAAAATAATTACAGATGAGAGACCATGGTCTTCCGGAGGAAGAACTTTAATTTAAATATAATAATTCAGTGACCGAAATCTTAAAATACCTGTTGTTGGTCATTTGAATATCAATAAAAGAGACCCATGTTTTCAGCTGAATGATTGCAACACGGTGGTCAATTGGTCATTTGAATATCAAGCAATAAAAGTGACGAATGATTGATTTTATCAATTAGAAAATGACCGACGTGTCCTTTTCTATGTTTCTACTCACGAACTGAGCGTTTCCACATGAACTAGGTTGTTACCTCAAAGAAACATGTTTTCTCATTCAAGTCCTTTAGCCAACTGCTGCTGCGCTGCGCTTTTGTTAACTATAATAGCGGGAATTGACTTCTTTTCATCATCTTCTTCTTCAATGTGATAGCGATTTTTACAGTGTGAATACTAAATAATATTAGATGTTACCAATAGGACCTATTAAATAAATGCATTTTTGTTTATGTGACAAAATATAATTGATTGATAACATCGGTGACATAGTATCAGCGGAGGGAAAAAAATCTTTCTCAAGTTAAAGTGGAGGAGAGGAGTTCGAAACAATAGTATAACCTCCTTACTTCAAAGCCGATAAGAAAGATTCGAGACAATAATATAACCTTCTTACTCTCAAAGAAGAAGGGAGGGGTTTGAGGCGCGTGAACAATGAAGGAAATAAAATATTGTAATGCATCCCATCATCCCCCCAACCAAAAAAAAAAAGAAAAAGGAAAAAAAGGGGTAGATTGAACTCCAAGAGGCTGCAACAAAGTATTTACAAATGAAGATGCAAGAAATTCGTTCCCCCCTTTCTCTCTCTAGAATTCTTACACCTCAACCCAAAAGATCCCCTTCCTTTTCATTCCTTATCCTATTTATAGATATTTACAAGATATTTACAAGATATTTATTGATTGCTGGATCTGGGCCTATTCCTCCATAAGTCCTGGTCACCTTTGATGGGCTTACTCGCGTTCGGCCCATATGGCAGTGTCTTTATATGGGCCGACCCAGCTGTACGAACTGAATGTAGTGTTTGCGAGTCGGATCCGGCCCATGTCGTCCGGGGCCTCCTCAACTGCCCCCATAATTGCCCCTTATTTAATAAGGGGTAATTATCGATGGCGTCTCATCATGATGTTGACGGCTCGAGATAACCACGTGGGGGAGCGGACGGTCAGATCCAGAATCAATGTTCCGGGGCTCGAGGAATTTCTCGCCTTCCCGACGCTTCGGCCCTCGGGCCCCCTCGCCTTTATAATGCTTTAGAATTCCACTTCACTTCCCTTTACCGTCTCCATCATCAGTCAAGTCTCTCTCTTTCTAGAACAGTGCTAAGCTTTTTCTGGTGAAATCCTTCAAGAGTCATTCTTCCAGCGATCTTGCAGTCCTCCGAGGTTAGTTTCGTTCTTTTTTACTTTCGGCAGGCTTCCATTTACCCCTTTTTAGATTCTTCTAGCACTTCCACCATGGTTGTAGATCTGGATGTTCTTCGTATGAGACTTAGACTTCCTGACAACATCGAAGTTAGGGTTTGCCCCCAGGACGTTAACATTATGACCGGCGCCGGCCTCCTGCCCGGCGAAGTCTTATTCACGAACCTTCAATTGAATGTTGTTAGGTTCCCTCTGCACCCTTTCTTTAGTTATGTCTTCAATAGATTGGGGATATCCCCTCTGCAGGTCAACCCCAACTTCTTTAGAATCATATCTGTTATGCTCTTGTTGATGCGTGACAGAAATCTGGACCTCGACCTCATAGACCTCCTTCTGTGCTATAAGGTCAGTAAGATCCATACTAACGAACCCTTCTACCACCTCTACCCGTTCGAGAAGATGTCCATATGTACGGACACAATAAAATCTGAGAAGGGTTGGAGGGATAGCATCGTGGGCATTAGTGGGGCTTGGTCTTCGCCGGCTGCAGAGGATTACCCAATCCCGAGCGCCTTTGGTGTCTATTCTGTCTCCTCCTATAAGAAATTCAAATCTCATAAACATGACTGCCCCTGCGAAACATGCGTTCCTCGTTTTTGCACTTTCTTATGCCGTTCCTTGGGAATACCTTGTGATGACTTGAGCTATAGTGTTTGCAGGGATAGGAGTAACTACTTGAAGAAATACGTTCTGAACGATATTCCTTCCTGCTCAGATCTCCTCACTTCAGACAACCTCTTAGCGCTCTCATCACTCGGCTACAACATGAGCAGACTTCAGATTCCTTCTTTTGGCAGGAAGAAAAATACTCCCCCAGCCACTCCTGCTGCTGGGGCGACCTCCTCTCCAGCGTCAGCTTCTTCCTCAGCCACCATATCTGACATTGTCCCGAGCGCAGTGGCTATTAACCCTGTTGCCAGCGCCCCTGCTGCCAACCAGAACGCGTCCCCCCCAGCTACCATAGCTCCTGCTGCTGCGGGGGGCGGTCGGGACAAAGACCGAGGCAAAATGCCTCATCCTGACAGTGAAGTCGATCCTGAGGAGGAGCCTCTCATTAGAAGGACCCGGGTCTCCGGGCCGGGTGCTCTCTTGCACCGAGCGATCAGAGCTCCTGCTCCCTCTGGGCCTGCTGCAGCTGGTGGCTCTGCTTCTGCTTCAGGCCCCCCTTCTATCCCCACCTTACCGCCATGGGCCCCTCGGTACACCCGAACGGATGGGACGTTCGTGAAACCGAACGAGACCATGCTGAAGGATGGCCAGACCGCTATGGCCTATTACAGGAGCATGTGGACTCCGAAGGACCTTGAGGCGGCAAAGGGCCTTTCCCAGAAGGATGTGTTCAGCCGCTTTCCCCAATCTGCTATGGAGGTGACTTTTATTTTCTTAATTCATGAATTCTCTCATATTATTTGGTCTTGCCTTCGCCCGACCTGA